CCGGCCCCTCTGATGACAACAGCTGTGAGGACGCGGCGGAGGACCGGCCTGAGCAGGACGACGCGCCGCCGGCGCCCAGGCCGGAGCCGCCGGTGAACGTGCTGCGCGAGAAGGTGCTGCGCCTCCCGCTGCCCGACGCCCTGAAGTGCTACCTGCTGTACTACCGCGAGAAGTGAGGGGGGCAGTGGGGTGCCGCGCCCAGGAGCAGCGAGCCCCCCACCCCCAGCTCGTCCGGACTCTGCTCTAGGGCGCTCGTTAAACGGCGGGGCGTCTTTAAGTCCCGTCTGGCACACGCGAGGCCCGCGGGAGAGAGTGGCCTGGGAAGGGCCGGCTGTCCCCGGGCCCGGCGCCCGCTCCTGGCACCGGACGCTCGCCCGCCTCGCGGATTCGAAAATAACCTGTGTTGCTCACGTTTGTACGTGGTGGGCCTGCTCTGCGCGGGACACACGGCATCAGCCTCTTACCGGCTGCCACCGAGTCCCACTGAGAGCTTTTCGGTTCCCGGAGGAGGGCACGTTACTGAGAAGCTCCCCCTTATTTGAAGTAAATGCATTAACTCTTACGTGAGTTGTCGGTTGTAATTTTTAAAAAGAAAAACTAACGGGGCGGAGGACTGAGCACCAAACGGCCGCTGTCTTTCTGCAGTTCCGGAGGACTCCAAGGCGTTTCTTCCTGACGCCTTTTGCTCCCTTAGAACCAAATGTCGGTAACCCTGAGAGCGCCCCGCAGACAGCTGTGTGGAGTGGACCCCGCGGCTCCGCTCCCGGTGGCGGGAAGGTCGCCGGCCCAGCCTGCCGTGCGCAGCGCGCGTCTGAGGCTTTGGCGGGCTCGGCCCGGGGCAGCAGGAAGCGTGAGCGAGGACGCTGCTGGAGACAGCTTGAGCTTTCGCAACTTGGGTTCGCTATTTTCCTGTAATCACATTAGAGTACTGATTCATAGATTTTATCTTTTGTAATTCTGGAGAAAGATTTGTTAGTTTTGTAATTTTTCTTAAGAACAAATATATGTATTTTACTAGCTCCATTGCATTAGAATGATTTAGCTCACGGTGACTTCTGAAACTGGCCTGCAGGCTCCGTGCGCAGAGAGCTCTCTGCCTTTAACCCAGTTGTGGGCCTGGAGGCAAAGGGACCTGTCAGCTGTCTGCAGGGTGTTTGGGAGTCACGTCGCTTGTTCGGAAACATCGGTTCTTTCCAAATTCTTTTTTACCTGAAGAAAAAAATAGTGTTAAATATTAACAATAAACCCAAACTCAGTGCTGATGTGGCATTGCTCACCCAGATTTCCTGATTCACTTTACCCTTTACCCTCTGGGCTGTTGCTGAGGTTCAGGTGTCTCTGTGGCTTCACCAGCTTAAGTAAATTCTGTTTTGTTTTTTGTTTTTTTTTTTTTCATTTTTGCTTTTTTGTAGTAACTGAGTCATTTTTGTCACAGGATACTGTGAGCATGCACAACTGGGAAAACATGGATATCATCCTAGGTTTATAAGTTTGAGCTGCTGTAGAGAAGGTTACTTCATAGTGAGTTACTTGCCTTTGACTCAGACAGAGTCCAGCCCCGTTCTTTCAGAGAGAGAAGCGCGGTTTACAGTTACGTGCTGGCACTTCATAGTTTGACATTATTCTAACTGATATGTAGAGAACTGTGCAATACATGGACGTTTTGGGGCATAATAAGTAAATGATATCTGTGATAATGTTAAATTATGTTGCTTGATTAAATTTCCCCTGTAATTGTATAAGGATTTCATTTATTTTAAACCACCTTTGCCTTTATGCTAGCTTGTAAAAACTATTTACAATGCATAAGACATGTTTTTCCTATATATGTTCAACTTTCCCTAACATTTTGTATTTACATGCTGTCAGTTTGTGATTTTTAAACCAGAATTTGGTTAAAAATATATAGATACAACATACATGAAATAGTTTGATGTTTATCTTATAAACAAAGGAGAACTGTGAGTTTTCCCGTGCTTAAGCACCTTAGTTAGCAGAGTTCAGTATGATACACTGTTTTTGAGCGGATGGATCATATAGCCTGTGTTGTCTGCAAGCTTTGTATTGTAAACCACATTCTAGACAACTGTTGACTTCTGTGTTCTGAGTAGTCTCTATTTTTATATGTGACTTTTGTCTTCAAAGTAGCAAAGCCATAGACATGTGCAAAACGTATACCGAATTCATAAATATTAAGTATGTGATGTGAAAATCAACTGTGTATGTAAAAATACTTTTGCCGGTCTGGAACTTTCAGGGTATTAATGTCAGAAATCTAAAACAGATTTTAATGAGCTGATATATGTGGATAAATAAAAGGTATCAATAAAGGCAGTTAAGACATTTAGCTTTCCTGGCATTGCTTGTTCTTCTGTGGGATAGAAATTCTTAACTACTGCTATTTTTTTTCAAAAATTTAAAAAATAGCCTTTTTTCTTTATTAGAATCGTGTGTTTTCTTTCTCTGTTTGTCTTTTTGCTTACTTCTGTACCATTCTAGTGCACATAGGAAAGGCATCTGTCATTAAACATGAGAAGTTTGCAATAGCCAGATAGACAAGTGGCTCTGACTCCATGAGAGGAGAGGTTTCTGAAGGAAGTCTGTAGTTAGCTTTCGGCACAATTTTTCCAAATCGTGAAAATGTTACAAGATAATTGGGTGGTGACAACACATGCTAAGGGCAGCGAGGGTCAGGGTGAGGGTTTGGGCTTAGGGTTTAGGGTCAGGGTTGGGATCAGTGGCCAGGGCCAGGGTTTCCAGTTTGATGCCCTAGGTTTCTGTTACTTTTCATTTCTCCTCTCTAGTTTTCTACAGAATTGTCACACCGAGCATATAGCAATGCATCGTCATTAACTGAAGTGCGTATTTTACTCGGGTCCCCTTCATCCTGGCTTTTTCTGTCCCAGGATCCCATCCAGGGCACCACAGGACGGTCCTGTCTCTTTGGGCCGCCCTTGGCTTTGACAGTGTTTTGGACTTCCTTGTTTCGATGACCGTGACAGTGTCTCACCATGGGATTTACTTGGTGTTTTTCTCACGAGTACATCGGGGTTGTGGGTTCTGAGGAAGCAGGTCACAGAGGTGAAGTGCTTTTCGGCAGTTTATGTCAAGGGGACGAGGCAGCTCATCCCTGTTGGTGTCAGTCTGCTCACCTGTGTCAGGTTCCCCACCGTGAGGTAACCGTTCCCACCTCCATCCTCTGCATCCCCCTCCTGAGGAAGTCACTGCGGAGCCCACACTTCAGGGAAGCGGAGGTAGCTCATTTCTCCCTGACGGATGGGTGCGTGTCCATATCAATTATTTGGAATCCCTCTGAATAGGAGATTTCTTTTCCATCACATTTAAAATTTTATGTGGTGATTTGGTTTTGCCAGTGTGGACGCCCGAACGGCTGGCTGCCTTGAGCTGGCCGCCGCCCAGTGCTGCGGTGTCCGGTCCCCGGTCATCCCACGGTGGCCGCTGAGGGCCCGTGCTGTGAGCTCCCGTTCTCCTTCGGCAGAACTCTGTCTTCGTGGGTTTTTCCTGGTACTTCCTTAATTTCTGACACTTCTAGATTATCTGTCTCAGTCCTGGTATTAGCCGGTTCTTCAAAAGCCCTGCTTTGTTTTATTACAGAACGGTAGTAAAACCTTACATCCGCGCTAAATGTGCTCAGCTGACAAGGGCTGGAAGTAGATGAGTGTGTTCCAGCCTGTGCGCGTGCCTAACCGTAAAGGTTTCGACGTGGCACTGTCTGTGTCCATGTTAAGCTGAAGACGAATTTATTCTGTTGTTTCCAACCCGATCTCTTGTCACATGGAAACTGTAACCTCCTCCCCTGGCTTATCTGTGACTTCCCACTCCAGCAGTGATAAAGCTGGCTCCACCATCTGTCATTTGTTTAGTTTGTAATTCCGTACCGATATATGATGTCAAGCTCATTTTTGTATACTTATTTACCTCTTTAAAAGCCTTGTCTTTAGATCCAGCCCCTACAGGGAGTACCGTATGTCCTGTGTTGTTTAAACAGTTCAATTACAAAGTTAAGGTCAGACACGAAGTTGGAAAGACAGCAGGTTTAAGGAAGGTAGACTGAAGATTTAAAGAGAAATTCTGTAGGTAGAGGACAGGTGCCCTGGAAGGAATTAGATAAATAACTGCAGGGGATAAAATACTTCATCAGAGGCAGTTTAGAGGCGGCCTGTTGCGGCCCTCAGCAGATGATTCGTGGGGGCAGAAGTCGTACCCACGAGGTGAAAGGTGAATCAAGCAACACTGAACGTTGGCTCCGGCTTCCTACAGCAGCTGGCAGGCGGAGTCATGTGCCGTGGGTGAGGAAGGTCGGTGTAGGGGAAGGACCTTGAGGGGAGACGGGAGTCGCTGTGGAGGGGAGTGAAAAGAGCCGACGTCCAACACTCACGGGGCGGGCGTGCGACGTGTGAAGCCCGCACGACGGCGCCGTTGCTTCCTCGGCGTGACTGGGCCGCCCGAGGACAGATGCTCCTGCTAAGCCGGAGTCGAGGTAGACACCCCGTTTCAAATAGCCGTCTACGTCATTAGTATTTTCCATTTGCAGTTGTTTAATGTTTAAACAATGTATTTGCAAATTATGTGTATTAGCCATTTACTCCTGTGTAACAAAGTACCCTCGAATTTAAGGACTTAAAGCAATAGCATATACACCTCACCATTTCTGTGGGTCGGAAATCTGGGAGCAGCGTGGCCGTCTGCCTTCGGCTCAGCATCTCAGTGGGGCTCCAGCCGTGCCGTCGGCCAGGGCTGCACGCTCATCCGAGGGCTGGTCTGCAGGAGCGCCCGAGTCTGAGCAGGCTGCTGTAACAGGACACCACTTGCAAGTATTAATTTATCTCTACCATTTAAAAAATTATTTCACTTCATTAAGTGTCCAGTTCCTTGCAGTGAAAAGAGTTCTAGCTGACACAGCAGATCAGTTCCTGAGACCCCCTCTGTCCTGTGTCCTCACTGACACGTCACTGTCCAGGAAGAGAGAAGCCCAGGACGCCGAGAGGAGAGCCCCCAGGGGACAGCGGTCCCGGAAGGCTAATTGTCAGTGGACATTTCTCTTAATTCAGGGACTGTTTTGCTAATGCTGTTTATACTAGAAAGTCATCCAGGTTTTCCAGGGTTCCATTTTGATGCAATAGATTTCTCTTATTTGGGTTTTAATGTCTCCGGTCCTTCCAGTTTTCTACAGAATCGTTATAGTTAAAAAACAAATACTGATACATTAACTAAAGTCTCTATTTCATTTGGGTTCCTGCATTCAAGGCCCAGTCTCAGTGCTGGTGCCTCAGTCTGTTAAAGCCCCCACCAGCCATCCACCCGGAGAGGTGAGTGCTGACAGTTGGGGTACCCGGCCACTGAGTGGGGGTGTTATGATGGGAGATGAGGCCAGGAGCAAAATGGGCCAGACGAAGATTCTCTGCCCTGTGTCGACGATAGAGACTATTCTCTAGGATGAGGAAAGGCCGTTGGCAGTTCTGTGCTCAGGAAGTGACAGGATTAGATCCCTAATTTAGAAGACCAAGCTGCCCAGTGTGGGGTTGGACTGGACGAGAGAGGGACAGGACTCAGGGAGACCAGTGAGAAGACTGGTGAGAGGTGGCGCCGGCCTGAGCCGAGACAGCGGCCGTGAGTGTGGAGATGATCAGGGGCACGAAGGCCAGAGGGGGCTGTGGTTAGTGCCGCCCTGAGGACAAAGGTGGCACAGATGCCAGTCAGCACTTAGGGGAACTTTGGCTCTTTGGACACCAGTAGGAGAGCTCATTCTGCTAAAAGGACGTATTTGCTAAATCATTGACTTATGTGGCCCAAAGAAGGTGGAGAAAGGACTAAAAGGAAGAGGAAGGGTGAGTGCTCATCACATGTTGAGTAGGAGCTGACGTCACCACCTCACTGAATCCTCACATGCCCCTGAGAGGGAGCCGTTATCCCCATCTGCCAGATGAGGAGACTGAGCTTCCTTTTCTCTGCCTGAAGTCACACAGCTAGTAGGTGGTGGGGCCAGAAGTCAGCTCGGTGCCTGTCTGGGCCCAGGCACTCCCCACAGGGAACCTGCCACCCTTGACTCCATTCTGAGCACCCAAGAATCTCTTGTTGAGATCTCAGAGGAAGGGGATATGGGCTGAAAAATAATACATTTTTAAAAGGCCAGAGTACAGCAGAGTGGAGGTGGGGAAGTCTTTCTTATAGGAATCTAGTGCTGGTTATACTCCTGCAAGGGGCTGGGCCACCTTCTCCCCGCAACCTGCCCTCATTCCCAGCCGCCTTTCCAAGTCCCACTACAAAAACCAGCTTGGATGAACACAGGACAAGCTGTACCTTTAGGTTATGTGCAGATTTTATTTAAAGAGAATGATCAAGATTCAACCAAAGCTGCAAGGACTATTTGGATTACTCTGTTTTTCCAGGATCCTGGGTTAGTGTAAGGTCCTGGACTCAGAACTGTGGTAGAATCAGTCCAGTTTAAATGCCTGTAAAATGTGGATGATACATTTCCTGCTTTATTTGGCAAATGGAAGCAATACATTAGATAAGCCATGTGAAGGGCCTAAAACAGGATTAATTTCAAAGTGAGGTAAGTACCAAGAATCTGGAAACTTATTTTAATGAGTGCGCAGAGCCCTTAAGATAGGGAAACGCTCTTCTCTGCTGCCATCTCGTGTGCATTTTTAGAATAATACCCAAGTGAATCATGATGATAAGCTACTCTTCGTTGCCGTCTGGTGTGCATTTTGGGAATAGCACCTGAGTATATGTTATCAAGTGTAGGTCATCATGAATATTCATTTTCTGCTGCCATCTTGTGGGCAATATAGGAATAACCCCACAGTGCAGGTCACGAAAAGTTATTCTCTGCTGCCATCTCGTGGATATTATGAAAACAACAACCAAGTGTATGTGATCATAAAAATGTATTTTCTGCTGCCATCTAGTGGGCATTTTTGGAATAAAACCAGAGTGCATGTCATGCAAAGTTATTTCTGCTGCTATCTCATGTGCATTTCGTAAATAATACTCAAGCGCATGTCGTTATGAACTTTTTCTCAGCCGCAATTTCGTGCGTGTCTTGGGAAAAACACAGGAGTGCATATCATGAAAATTTATTCTCTGCTGCCATCTAATGGGCATTTTGGCAGTAACACCAGAGTGTATGTAATAAAAAGTTACTCTTTACTTCCACCTGGTGGACGTTTTGTGAATAACATAGGGGGTGGGTCATGGTGAATATTCATTATCTGTCTTCATCTAGTGTACAACTTGAGAAAAACACCAGAGTAATAAAATTTATTGTTTGCTGTCATCTGGTGGACATTTCAAGATTAACACCCGAGCATTTGTCATCCC